GCTACCACGGGAACCATTTCTCAATATTCAGTTCACTGCTGAAGACCAGCCACTTCAGCTAATTAATAAATGATGTAGAGAAGCTCTGAAGGGAATCCCCTTAATGCTCAGTTGGTGGGTTGATAGGGTTTTTGGAATAAAGCAGGCTAATAAGGGAACAAGAGAATCAACCTGAGTGCTTCACTAGTGACTGAAGATGTTGTTCTTCAGGAAAAATAAATAAAAAGACAAAATTACATGCCAAGCAATTTGGAAAACTGGTAGCACATGAAAATGTTAATGTTCCTGTGCTCTATTCTGAATGGAGCAGAGCACAAAGACAGACAGCCTGTTCTCCTGTTTTGTTCCAAGCACGATTATATTTTCAGGCTTGCCTGACACTCCCAAGGGAAGTTCTGTGTCGAGATGAAGGGAAAGTTTGCTGAACTGATTTATGGAACTGTTAAGTTTTAAATTATTGCACCATAAAATGGTGGTATGTAAGATAAATACTGTCTATAGGGTTACCTCAGAATGTGCAGTATTCCCTTGTACTTTCTTACTTTGACTTAAATACTACAAATACAGTACTGAAGTTAGCTAACTCAGTACATCTGGGAAATTAATTTACTTAGGATCTGATTCTTCCACCCTGGCTACGGTTGAGTAGTACCTTACTTTGAGCCAGAACATAGCCTATCCTAAGCACTGTCTCAAGGGAGTAGAAGGGGTGTAAGACTCCCTTTAATCCCTTGCACAGGCACACAATACTATCGCTTCTTGCAAGCAGTCCCCCCTGAACTACTATGTCCCTCCTTACATAGGTGTAGAGAGGGAGGGCATGTGGAGAGCTTTGACTCTGCTCCCTTCCCCACAAAATGCCTGGCAGCACACTGGCATGTAGAGGAATGCACGCTGCAACCCTTATAGACCGGTTGTAGTTTACTCACTCTCCAGAGCAGCAGGGAGACAGAGAGATAGTGATTTGGGGAGTTATAATCTCCCCATCCCAGGCAGCTTCAGGCAGCACAACAACATACTGTCCCTTTCTATGGGCTGTTTTGCAAACTGATGTCCAAATTCCTATGAGTAGTAGTGGTTTGACTTTTGGCGTAAGGTATTATTCAGTTTGAGTAAAGACTGCATAATTTGACCCTTAGTTTTCCCAGGTGGTTGGCAAGTTTTTACATATCATTCCTGTGCAATTTGGGAGTATTTTGTAATTTAATTTTGGGCACCTGTGGTAGCACATGTCCATGGCTCAAAATGCATTAATGCAGAGTACTCGTTTTATACACAATCAGTCTAAAATAAAATGGCAATGTTACATGTAAATCAAGTTTTGAAACATTTAAGTTTTTGTTCTTAGACAGGCCCATCAATGTGGTTTCTAAACATCTTCCAGAGTTTAAAATAATGACAAGAATGTGTGTTACATAATCAGATAAAGATACTCTCTATTCTGCCCCCAAGGGGAGTGAGATAGGTGGGATTTGGTGTATTTATTCCAGAGATGCCAATAGATTAAGTGTTGCTGTGTGGGAAAGCAAGGTCAAAGAAGTGGGATATGCATTTGGATCTGAAGGTAGTGAGGTTCGTGGTCATCCATAGTTCCCGTTGGAATGTATTCCAAAATCAGTGGTCCACCACCAAGAATGACCTGTCTCCTGCACAAAGAAGCCCTTAGACCGTTGCATTGTTATTGAGAAGTGGAGTTGGCGAGATCTTGAAGAATGAGGGAGTCTTTTAGTTATCCTGGGTCTAAGTGTTTAAGGACCTGGAAAATGAATACGGAGGTCCTAAAGTTAACTCATTGTTCAGTAGGAACCCAGCGGAGTGGAAAAGTACTGGGGTACTGTTGCTGACAAGGCAAGCTACTCCATTCTGACCTGTTACAGCCTTTTCAAAGGATGATGGTTTCAAGCCACCATATATGGAATTGCAATATTCCAGTCTGGAAGTAATGAAGGAGTTCATGGACACCTGGCCAAGTTGGCATGGTGTTTCCTAGCTAGTGATTGATGAATGAATATATTTTTTGTGGCTGACACTATGTGGGAGGCCAGTTTCAGTGGACACTACAGAAGGACTCCTAGACTTCTGACTACCTTAAAGTCTGGGGGCAAACTTCCTTGACTAGTGGAGACATCACATAGTGACAAGCACTGTACAATCTTTCCCTTTAACTACCAGAATAAATTCATTCTTGCTTGAGTTTAACTTCAGCCAACTCTTTCACAGCCATATGCTGATCTTGGCTGGATAGTGGAATAGCTGAATGACAGAGGGCTTAATGGATGAAAGATAAACAGTTGAGTATCATCTAAACATTGTTGGCATTTGAGTCCATAGAGACTCACAGTTTGTCCTCATGCCACTTGTAAATACTGAATAGGCTAGGAGAGTGGTCTGAATCCTACAGAACACCACAGTTGAGAGCTCTGGTACCAGGAGAGAAGTTGCCTGTTACCAGCTTTTGGGTGCAGCCCTTCAGGAAGAAGGCACACCATTTTAGAGTGTTTCCCCAGACAAGTACCACAAATGTCATTGACATCTGAGTATTTCATTACCGGTAGTGCTTCCCTCCATGTATTTTACTATGACTTCTTCTTTTTCCTTTTTAAGAGACAATGGTTTGGCAAATAAATAGTGGATTTGAAAAATCCCAATTTTTGATTTTGCAAAGTTATATACTCTTGCCTGTCAGACTTTGCTTCACTTTCTAGTGTGCAAAATTGGCAATTAATGTATTGTTGGCTGCAAGAAAAGAGTTTGGGATCGTCATAGAAGTTTGCCATTATTTTTACAGGCATCATAGGTAAATATTTTAAACAAAAAACCTGGAGCCATATATACAAATGTATATACACACACAAACCACCTGTCACATGTAGATGTTAGCAGTATTTAGTTTATACTAATAAGAAAGTTATGTTTGTAGAACTGGGAAAGCTTTCCTTACTCAAGTGAAGGTTTTAATGAATCTGAATTAGTTACATTTGTACTCCCTTTGTGTTCATTTTCCATGAACATTTAAGCAATTCAAGGTCTGCTCATAGAATTTTCACACAAAGCAAATTTCAAAGCTGCCTGTATGAGTAGTTCCAGAAAGTAAATATTCAGATTACATACCAAAATTTTTATGCTGGAGGTGCTTGTGTTCTTGTCCACTCAGAAAACAGAAACAATTCCATGTGACTTTTCTGACCAACCATAAAGATACAGAGGAAAGCTTTTGCCAGGTATGTTTTTGCCAATATGTCCTTCTCTATATGTGACTTCCAAGTCTCCTGAGCCATCAACACAAAATAGTTGGGTGTTTATAGACTAGTTTTGCAGCTTAGGTTTTAAATGGGGAAGTAATGTCCAATGGGCCTGCAGATTTTCATGAAACTTCCTGAACTACCCATGTGAATATCACAATATGACACTTCTTCAAAGGCCCAAGACTGAAGGCCTTGAGAGATTTATTCCTTCAACCCGTGATTCACTGTCCATTAAATAAATCATGTAATTATGTGTTTACCTTTAAATATGTGCTTCAATGCTTTACTGAACTGGGGCCCTAGTTCCCAGGAGATCTCTCCATCAATGTTTATCTGTGAAGGAAGAACCCTTTGCGCTGGCTGTGAACCTAAAAATACAGTTAGCTGCTCTGATAGCCACTTCAGGACAGATGATGGGAGGGCAGTCCTTCCTACCCCTGAGCTGGCCCATGGATGCTACAGGAATATGATTACCTTTCTGAAGATTTGTCTGATTAATATTTAAATCTCTGTTAACAAGAAGGTATTAGTTAACATATTATAACTAACACATTCTAAAAGTCTACCATGGACAAGGCAGTGTAAACTTCAACACAAGCTAAGCTGGTCAAGTTAAAGCCTGTAGACTTTTAGAACATATTACTTAGAAGGTGTTAACTAACACCCAACAGTGCACCTTAAAATCCTAGTCTAGACAAAATCGGAGTGACTCCAGAGTGGCTGCTTCTAAAGAGCTGTAAATTTGAAATTTTCAGTTTACAAATCCAAATGTAAAAGCTGCTTAGTTGTGTCATGCCAACTAATGGTCAATGGTACTAAGAAGTCACTTTTTCTTCGATGTTATCTGGTTTGCATGCTTTTCCTTAGCCAGGTAGAAATATTTTTACTGACTGAATTTCCAGAGCTCTGCAGTTTTCAGATCCAGAGTTAGAGATTGTAACAACTCCTAATTTGACTAATGGGCTGCATTAGTACACCTCTTCTTAAATTTACAAGAGGAATTAATTTTGCTATATTAGCCTTTGTCAAATGATGACTTAGCTTAAGAGACGTGCAATTAACCAGTTAAAAAATCATTGTTAGAAATACTTTTTTGGCCCATGTATCACAAAACTCTTAGCCCATTTATCACCAGCTTCATCCATTAATTCAGCATGGATTGTCCTTGACTAACAGGGTTTTCTGAAACTTTACATTTTGAATTTAATAAAGTACAAAGAGCTTTACTGACAGAATGGGTCTGATTAAAAGCACTTAGTTGTTCTTCAGAAACATCATTTACATTTTTGCTGTGATAGGTTTCTTAAAAACTATTCAGGGCCGGATCTTAGATTGTTGAGTGGTGATATTTCAATATGTTACTACTTTTTCCCCCCTTCAATTTGGTAGAACAATTGTACCCAGTCAAGCTGAGCAGTGATCCAAACGTTTCCTGGCTACCGTTTTGGTGCACCATTTTTTAAAGTACTTAAATTTGGTCAAGTAAATGAACTTATTAAGCATACATACATTGTGTAAATACAGAGTTCCAGGGTTTCATACCCCTCTATTATATATTTTGTGATCACCAGCTAAAATCTAGGGTTCAAAAGTAATTCAGTCCATATGGTAAAATGTATACTCAATGGAAGCAGTCCTGGAATGACTGTTTGGTTTGATAATAAGAAAAATGGAAATAGAAAAAAAATCTTTACTACAAAACTGTATTTGAGTTCTAAGGATGTTTGTGTTCTTTCCCTCTTTTCTGGTTGCCAGTTTATCGTGGTATCTGGACTGTGCTCATGCTCCTGGGGGTGATCACTGTTCTGGTGGCCAGCTTCTTCATCATCTGTGCAGCTCCCTTTGCCAGCCATATTCTATACAAAGCAGGAGGAGGCATTTTCATCGCTGCAGGTGGGTATCATGTACACTCAGTCAATGGTAGCTGTCAATACAGTAAGGCTGTTTTCCCCACTTTTAAATATCTACCTGATTAGCCCCAGTAGTAAAAAAAATCCTATACTTCCGTGCTCTGGGTACGTCAAGGGCCTCACTTGGAGATGCTATTTCCAATGTTTCTTAGACATACATCTGTATAAAAGTTACTTTTGGGTTAAGATAAAGACCCCAAGATTTAAGTTAAATCACACAATTACATTTCAATTTTAGACTACTTTTCACAAACAAAATGAAATAATATTTACTAGTGCTACCCATCGTAACGTGATTTCCGAGTGCTTGATTTAAGGTGATATTTTTGCAAGAAAAACGATCATAATGGACTTTGTTGAAGTTGCAAGCCCCAGTACATTCATATGAGCATTATATCAGAAAGATTTTGAATGAGATTGGAGTGCATGGGAGTATTGTTTGTAAAGTGAAACTTGAATAAATAGTAGCTCAAAAAAAATTATCAACGAAGGATGGCTTATAGCTGACTTCCCATCTCCTTGTGAAATTGTAACCTTAAAGACTCTTCTGACTCTCTGGTGTCCCTAAATATGTCCCCTTGTTAAAGTTCATGTGTTGATTTAGATTTCATTTGTTACACACTTAGCATATTGTCCTTTTTTAACGTTTTCTTTATTGAAAATGTCAATTACTATCCAGGAAATATGATGAAGAGCAAAATATGACTTGTACAGGAATAGTAACAGCCCAGGTAAATTGAGCGGAACAATAAAAAACTGGAGAAGTTTTTGTGTGTTTCCATTGGTTCTTGCACATCAGAGTACAGAAAGAAAATTTTCCAAAGGGATGGTGTCCAGATGTATAATATACATTAAAATAAACACAAACAACATATATTCAAATATGCTAAGGCAAAGTCCATTTAGGCCTATTAAACTGAGGACGGATGTGTGTTGAGAAAATTTCAAAACTATTGGCCAAATTGCAAGGTGAAAGTGTCCACTGCAATGTAAGCCCAGGGTTAGTTGGGACATGAATCAGATGACCTGTGTTAGAGAAACTGGGGCTTGAGTGTCTACACTCATTCTTAACCCTACATTAAGACTTTTCTAACTGGGGCTCGAATCTGGGGCTCTGGCATCTACACTACACTATGCAGACCCGAATCAAACCAACCATATCCCAGACTCCCTAGTGCCTTTCTGAAATGTGGCTACTGTGGTCCTTTTGAACATGGTTCAAAACCTGGTCTTTTTGAACATGTGGGAAATCTTTACTGCCCACCTTGCACGTTAGAGGAAGTTTGAACAGCCTGCCAGTGCAGCCTGTCGAGCAACATGGAGATCCCTCTTCAAGAAGTTCTCTTGCTTGCGCTTTCACTCCTGTGTGAGAAAACAGGGAGAGGTGCTGGTAGACATTTTGGCAGCCTCTTCTGACCCACCAAAGGCACCTGATAGAGCTTTGGAGGAGGAAGAGGAGAAGGCAGAGGAGGAAGAGTCCACTGGCATGGCAGACTAGCACTGTGTGCTGCTGCTCAGTGCCCTTATTATAGCCGCTGATGTCCGCTGCTTAGACCAGCGCTTCTGGCACAGGGTCACAAGCACAGACTGGAGGGATCACATCGTCATGCACACCTGGGATTACCAGCAGTGGGTCCAGAACTTTTGCATGAAGAAAGCTACATTTCTGGAGCCTTGTGAGCAGCTTGCCCCAAGCCTTCAGCGTAAAGATACATGCATGAGGCCTCCCTTGCCGGTCCAAAAGTGGATTGCTACAGCCATCTGGAAGTGGCCACCCGAGGGTGCTGTAGGTCCATTGCCAACCAGTTTGGTGTTGGAAAGTCGACTGTGGGTAAGGTGGGGGCAGAGGTTTCTGAGGCAATCAGGCATGTCCTGGATGACTGGAAAAAGGCTAATGTAGTGCCAATCTTTAAAAAAGGGAAGAGGAGGATCCTGGGAATTACAGGCCAGTCAGCCTCACCTCAGTCCCCGGAAAAATCGTGGAGCAGGTCCTCAAAGAATCAATCCTGAAGCACTTACATGAGAGGAAAGTGATCAGGAACAGTCAGCATGGATTCACCAAGGGAAGGTCATGCCTGACTAATCTAATTGCCTTCTATGATGAGATTACTGGTTCTGTGGGTGAAGGGAAAGCAGTGGATGTATTGTTTCTTGACTTTAGCAAAGCTTTTGACACGGTCTCCCACAGTATTCTTGTCAGCAAGTTAAAGAAGTATGGGCTGGATGAATGCACTATAAGGTGGGTAGAAAGTTGGCTAGATTGTCGGGCTCAACGGGTAGTGATCAATGGCTCCATGTCTAGTTGGCAGCCGGTGTCAAGTGGAGTGCCCCAGGGTTCGGTCCTGGGGCTGGTTTTGTTCAATATCTTCATAAATGATCTGGAGGATCTGGAGGATTGCACTCTCAGCAAATTTGCGGATGATACTAAACTGGGAGGAGTGGTAGATACGCTGGAGGGCAGGGATAGGATACAGAGGGACCTAGACAAATTGGAGGATTGGGCCAAAAGAAATCTGATGCGGTTCAGTAAGGATAAGTGCAGGGTCCTGCACTTAGGACGGAAGAACCCAATGCACAGCTACAGACTAGGGACCAAATGACTAGGCAGCAGTTCTGCGGAAAAGGACCTAGGGGTGACAGTGGACGAGAAGCTGGATATGAGTCAGCAGTGTGCCCTTGTTGCCAAGAAGGCCAATGGCATTTTGGGATGTATAAGTAGGGGCATAGCGAGCAGATCGAGGGACGTGATCATCCCCCTCTATTCGACGTTTGTGAGGCCTCATCTGGAGTACTGTGTCCAGTTTTGGGCCCCACACTACGAGAAGGATGTGGATAAATTGGAGAGAGTCCAGCGAAGGGCAACAAAAATGATTAGAGGTCTGGAACACATGACTTATGAGGAGAGACTGAGGGAACTGGGATTGTTTAGTCTGCAGAAGAGAAGAATGAGGGGGGATTTGATAGCTGCTTTCAACTACCTGAGAGGTGGTTCCAGAGAAGATGGTTCTAGACTATTCTCAGTGGTAGAAGAGGACAGGACAAGGAGTAATGGTCTCAAGTTGCAGTGGGGGAAGTTTAGGTTGGATATTAGGAAAAACTTTTTCACTAGGAGGGTGGTGAAACACTGCAATGCGTTACCTAGGGAGGTGGTAGAATCTCCTTCCTTAGAAGTTTTTAAGGTCAGGCTTGACAGAGCCCTGGCTGGGATGATTTAATTGGGGATTGGTCCTGCTTTGAGCAGGGGGTTGGACTAGATGACCTCCTGAGGTCCCTTCCAACCCTGATATTCTATGATTCTATGTGGTTTACCCCAAGATAATAAAATAATGTCAGTGTGAGGTGGCCGTGGAAAATACACCCTTATCCAGAGTGTGACTACCTACATGGGGTTCCTGCTTCAGAAAAAGTTTGCAGCTATCAGCACCCACGATTGGGTCAGAATTCATGTAGGAATCAACAGGATGCTGCGCTGGCTTTCCACCTGGCTTACCCTGTTGTGGCTTCATGCAAACATGCAGACCTCCACACCCTTCCTTCACCCTGCAGGCAGCACATTTCTGGATAAAAATTCAAACTACAGTCATTTTTGAGACACAGGATTTTGTCACCTATGGTTGGCATGGACTATGTCTAATTGAAATGAACTCGTTCTGGAAATGGAAAACATTTCCCCAAACATACTCACACAGTTCACTGTTTCCAGGCAGCTCCATAGACTGTTGCAGATTAGAGCAGCAAGCTTAAATGCATGACAATGTGATGTTGTTATTTTTAAGAACCAGAATGGCCCTAGCAAAAATTTATGTCTTTCCAGTAAAAATACTCTTTAAAGGTATACTTGACTGTTTGCGTTTCTCAGGCACCTTTTGAACTCCAGGTGGTGGGGGAGGGGGAAAAGGAGAACAACAAGACACTAGCCATTAGCAGATGCCGTGGCTTGCAGCATGTTTCTCATACCTTTTGCATTGGTTCTTAGAGTAGTGCCACTTCCCATTAGTGTAGCAATTAACATTAAATTGGAGCCAGGAACTTACTGGGATCAAGGGTGGCTTCTGTCCCTTCTGTGTCTGCTGCAGACTCAGCAGTGGGATGTTCCTTGTGGGAGTATCAAACAGCTCCTCTGAGTATGGACCCAGAATTTGCTGCTGATCCTGTTCCAAAGCCTGCTCTCAGACCAGTTTCAGCAACAGAATAACTTCCTGGTCCTCAGTCGGTGCCTGCTGCTGACTCCCATCAGTCCCCATGCTGGATTCTGGGGCCAGCAGGGCGTCATCCTAGCTGACCAGGTCATCATGCACCATGATTGGCTCTTTGCTGGGTACAGTGCCCAGTACCCAGTCAAACTCCTCATAAAATGAGAAGTTTTTTGGTGAGTTGCCTTAGGTGTGGTTCTGATCCCTGGTCTTCCAGTACTTGCTCTTGAGCTGCTTAATCCACTCCCTGCACTGGTTACCGGTCTGGTAAATGTGTAAAGCTGCCGGCTTCTTCACTATCTGCTGTATGCATGCTCATTCCTGGTACTTTTACTAAAGGCCACAGTTGTGCTAGCCTCAGACCAGAGAGTCACCAAAATCTGGCTGTGCTCCCATGACGATGAAGCAGCACATTTTGCAAAAGGCTTGTTCTGTTCAGTCTCCATTGCAAACACAGAAGGCTCTCTGATGGTGCGTTTGCAGCTCAGTGGTCAGAAGACAATGGAAGGGTTAATGCTGTTTTTACTTGAGTTGATTGGAGATTGTTGGGATAGAGAGGACAAAGGAAGTTGGCCCATGGTATTGTGAAATACTTTTGGTGGACTCTCAGGACCTGATTCAAGCAGGACTCCATCTACACTACACATCAATAGGGCTTGAACCCTGAGTCCTGGCTTGATATGGGCTCAGACCCTCCACCCCTACAGGATCCTAAGATCCTAGTTCCAAGCCTGAGTCTGAGAGATGTGTGCAGATGGCATTGTGGTTTGGTGGCTTACATTGCAGTGTA